CCGGGGCGGGAGAGGCGCGTCCCTGCACTTGGCCGCCGCAGTGCATTCTGGGCCTCCCGCCAGCCGGCCCGGAGGCACGTGGCGGCGGCGATCCTCCGGGCAGGGCGGGCGGCCTGTCTCGCCGAAGCAGGCGCTCCGCCAGGCCCTTTCCCGGGACCTCGGGCCCTTCCAGAGCCCGGGTAAGAACGCACTCGCTCCCCTCCCCGTCCCCAGGGCTGGCCGGGCCGCCGCCTCTTTATTCCCCTCCACCGCCTCCCGAAGTCAGTGGCCTCGTCCCCATTTTGTAGGCTACTTGCTTATCTGTATATAAAAAAGCCTCAGCAACAGTTAAGACCAGTAGATCGAGCAACTGGCTGCTATGACGTGCACTGACCACCAGGGGGCAGACGCTCGCGGCAGAAGGTGCGCAATGTGGTCAGTGCGCTTCCACAGCCAACCTCCCGCGGTCCTTCCTCCTGGTCGGCTTGCCACAATCAGCCCTGGTTGGGACTGGGCACGACGGCCTTGATCAGCTTCCATCACCGGCCAGGCAGAGGGATGCCATCTGTGCACGAATTCATGCACTGGGCCTCTAGTAAGTTATAAAGCCTGTGTTACACCCGGCTCCCCTGAGACGCCCGCCATCTGGAGGCCGAGCCAAGGCTGTAGGCGCAGATGTTGGGGCGATGACCTCACCCCCCAGGAGAACTTCTCCAAGCTCAACAGGCCTCATTCTCAATTGGGACCCTCAGTTCTCTTTCCTTCACTTCCCTCATCACTTACCATCTTCCTAGTCTTCATCTTCTTTGATCCAACCCATCTTTCTAGTCCCACTGCCACCATCTTTCAACCTCATTGTCACAAACCCGAGCTATTGCAGGAGCCTACAACCCTGCCTGCCTTATTTCCCATGCCACTCCCTTGTTCCACAAACCATATTTGATCCTTAAAACTAAAACTGTGAGCTCAAGTCAAACTCTTGAACGTGGCATTTAGGGCCATTTGAAACGTGGCTTCAGCCCATCTTTCTAAGCTGATTTCCCTTGGTTCCCTAAGCAGCTACAATTGGAAAATTTCTCAACTGCCCCACAAAGTTGTCTTCTTAAAATTCGAGTGGATGCTTATTTTAAAATTGGGCGATTTCATTTAAAAAGCCCGTGATTCCAGCTTCTTTTGAAACAGCAGTGGAGCTGGCAGCCGTGGGCCATTGTTCTTGCATCCAGAACCTGGTTTAAGCTGAGAAGTGGCTGCCCCTGACGTAGGGCTGTGTCCCCAGTTCACCTTAGTCTCTTCCAAACACTCCTCGTCTCTAAGCCTGAGGACCAGTTGTGCTTGCACTGATGTTTTTCATAAAATAGAGAAAGAGCCCTGACCTGTTTGGCTCAGTGGATGTGGACTGAAGGGTCCCGGGTTAGATTCCTGTCAAGGGCATGTACCTTGGTTGCGGGCACATCCCCGGTGGGGGGTGTGCAGGAGGCAGCTGATTGATGTTTCTCTCTCATCGATGTTTCTAACTCTCTATCCTTCTCCCTTCCTCTCTGTAAAAAATCAATAAAATATATTTTAAAAAAATAGAGAAAGAGGTTTTTGGTTTTCGTGTCTCTATCACAAGTGCACAGATGGAGAGTAGACCAAGAGAGGAGACCACAGAGAGAGGAAGCACCCAGCCTCCTTGACTTCCTGGCTCTTACTCCATAGCCATTTGCATTTTCTACTCAGGCCCTAGAGCAGCGGTTCTCAACCTGTGGGTCGCGACCCCTTTGGCGGTCGAACGACCCTTTCACAGGGGTGCATATCAGATATTTACATTACGATTCATAACAGTAGCAACATTACAGTTATGAAGTAGCAACGAAAATAATTTCATGGTTGGGGGTCACCACAACATGAGGAACTGTATTAAAGGGTCCCGGCATTAGGAAGGTTGAGAACCACTGCCCTAGAGGAACCCTTACATGCGGCTAGCTTGCTGCCTCACAGCCTCGGTGACCCTGAGGGCCATATCTTTGCACCATCTCCACAGAGTGAGTTCTATTCCACAAGGTCCACGCTAGTCCTACTCGGAAACCTTCCCTGACAACCAACCATCCGACCAACCCCACCCATTCATCTCGGCCTTTCTGGAGGCCACGTACTGGGTTAGATGGGTATGACCAAGCCACCGCCACCTCTCCCTCCTCTGCGTGTCTGTGGCTGTGCCTGAATCGATGTCTTACACGTGGTGGGTGATCAGTAAATAATTATCAGCTGGGTAAGTGGCACGGTCACAAAACAGCCCCCTCGTTAGATTGTAAGACCTCTGAGAGCGGGGTTCAAATGGTCTCTCTGCACCGCCTAGCACCTAGTACAGTGCCTGGCACGTAGCTGACCTTTGGTAATGTCTGAGAAAATACGTGCCATAAAGGGGGGGCCTCAGACCAGCAACAGATACCGAGGTTCAATCCTGGCCCACAGCTGGGAGCATCACACCCCTCCCCCCCCCCATCCCTGAAGCCTTCGAGGTACAAAGGAAGGGAGAGGCAGACCCAGAGCAGAGGCCTTACTCAGTTTTAAAAGTGGGGAGCACTTCACAGCCACCTTGACCTGGAGGCTCTGTTCAGGATTCAGCTGAAGTCACATTCAGGACCCAGCTATATCCGTGTGACCTTGTGAGCGGAAACCCAGCCTGATTCTGATTCTAAATTCCAAGCTCTAGAATAATAGTTCACGTGTACTGAGGCACTCTCGGAGCCCAGCACTGCCAAATGCGTCGTATCCATGGCCTCCTTCCCTCCTCACCATCGCCCTGGAGGCAGACGAGAGGGCTGAGGCTCCAGTGCCTGCGTAGCTTGCCCGAGGCCAATAGTAACAGGCTGGACCAGGAGTCCAGGTCCACGTGGGCTGATCCCAGGGCCCTTCCGAGCATCTAAGGCTGAGGAGGGACGCTGGGCAGGACCCAGAGACTCAGCTGTCGGCTAATTTGGGCTCTAGCTTATGTGCCAAGTAGTAAACCTCATGCAAATGCCAACCCTCGGTGCCTTTTCACTCATCTTTTCTTGCATTCTTCTTTAACTCCCTACCTAAGGAATTAAATATGTAGCTTCAGAACCAAGAAACTCTTTAAAAACTCAAAAAGAAAAGGTCAGATTTTTAAAAATCAAACTGACATTGTAACTTCAAACTCTTGACTGACAAGCTGCTCACAGGAGGAAGGGCCGAGAGGGAGCCGCAGTGAGCTGAGCCCTCCCTGTGCCGGGACCGACAGGCTTTTATATTTTATCTCTGAATCTGACAAACACGAAGGTAGTCTTGTTCTCTTGTGCAGAAGAGGGCAGCGAAGCTGTCACACATGGTACAACTTTGCAGAATTCTACTGAGGGCTGGTGCTTGGATCAGAAGCGAGTCCAGGCGGTCCGGACGGTGTCGGGCATCCATCCTCTTCTGGGTCAAAGAAACTGTTGACTTAGGAGTTATGGGTCCATCTCACCTTAGTCCCTCACAGCCCAGAGGTCATTCTAGACTTCCTTCTCCTTGTAGTCCAGATTTTTTAAAGATGGGTCCATATGAGGGTAAAAAAAAGCCTCTTTATCTCCCTGGCCTCCTAGCTATGAATTTGTCAGGTTTACAAAATACTCCTTTAAGTCTCCCTTTTTATTACAAAAGTGCGCCACACGTAGTAGGGTCCTTCCTTCCTTCCTCCCTCCCTCCCTCCCTCCCTCCCTCCCTCCCTTCCTTCCTTCCTTCCTTCTTTCCTTCCTTCCTCCTTCAGTAAATACATATGAGCACTTACTCTGGGCTCTTATAGGCACTCAAGGCAATAGTTGTGAACAAAACATAAAAATTTAAACCCCAAAATAAAAAGTCCTGTCCTTACCGAAGTTAAATTCTAAGGAAAACAGAGAAACAAGACAAAAGTGGGAAAGGGGTTGGCATTTTGGCTAGGGAGGCCAGAGGAGACTCTTTTTTTTTTTTTTTTAATAAAAGGAGGCCCCATTTTTTTTTTAAAAAAATATCTATTGATTTCAGAGAGGAAGGGAGAGGGAAAGAGAGATAGAAACATCAATGATGAGATAGAATCACTGATTGGCTGCCTCCTGCATGCCCCCTACTGGGGATCAAGCCCGCAACCCAGGCATGTGCCCTTGACCCGAATCAAACCTGGGACCCTTCAGTCTGCAGGCTGATGCTCTATCCACTGAGCCAAACCAGGTAGGGCCAGAGGCGATTCTGAGAAGGTGAATTTAAAAAGACTTGAAGTAGATGTGTAACAGTCAACTGCGTGCTGCTCCCTCCAAGAACTCCTCCAGCCTGGCTGGTGTGGCTCAGTGGAGGTTCCGGGTTCGATTCCCGGATATGGCACATGCCCGGGTTGCCGGCTCAATCCCTAGTAAGGGATGTGCAGGAGGCAGCCAATTGACGTGTCTCTCTCATCAATGTTTATATCTCTCCCTCTCCTTTCCTCTCTATCTAAAAAATTAAAAAAAAAAAAAAAGAACTTCAGCAGGAAGACAACCTAGACCGTGAGGAAAGCTACTCAACACTATTGAAATAGTTTAGGAGGGAAAACTCACAGAGATTGAAGGTGATTCTTTGCCTTCACAACAGTTCCATTTGTTCTTTCTGATTTTGCTCTAGACAGTGTCTCCCTTCTCCAGTCTCCCGCAAGCCTCGCCTCTGTTCTGCCAAGTCTGTCCTTCCCGTCTTCACCCCAGCTCCCTCCAGGGCAGCCAGGAGATGAGGTGGCAGCTGTGGCAACTGAGCAGGTGAGCAGGGCAACTAGCATGCGTCCTTCAGTTAAATGGATCCAGGCAGAGTGTAAAGTGGTGGCCGGAGCAGGAGGTGGGCAACCCTGGGGCTGACACACCTGGAGATTTAGGAAGCGTCTTCAGGGGCAGACGGCCAGGACTGCTGCCCAGGTCTCCTAAAGTGAGATGTAAACACATACATTTTTTTGTTTGTTTTTGGAAATGTCTCCTTTGTGGTAAAATTCAAATACTGTACTAGTCTATTCACAGAGCTGTACAATCATCAGCATAATTTTAATCACCCCTTAAAATAAACTTTGTATCTATAAGAAGTCACTTCTTGTCAGGTTGGTGTAGCTCAGTGTTTGAGCATTGACCTATGAGCCAGGAGGTCACATGGGCCGGGGTTGCGGGCTCGATCTCCAGTAGAGGGTGTGCAGGAGGCAGCTGATTGATGTTTCTCTCTCTCATTGATGTTTCTATCTCTCCTGCTCCCTTGCTCTCTCTGATAACAATTAAGTAAATATTTTAAAAGTCACTTTTTAATTCCCCTCAATCTCTACCCCCCCACACCCCCTATTCTAGGTCACCCCTAATGTACTTTCTGTCTCTGTAGATTCGCCTATTCTGGACAGGTCATACAAATGGCACATTTGGTTTTCACTTTTTCTCTTTTTTTGGAAGGTGGGTGACCACTGAAGAATATGACAAAGGGGGATTGAAATATCAGAAATTGAGAAGCTTGACCTGACCAGCTAGCTCAGTTGGTTAGAGCAACATCCTGATACACCAAGGTTGTGGGTTCAATCCCTGGTTAGGGCACATACGACAAACAACCAATGAATGCATAAAGAAGTGGCACAACAAAGCAATGTTTCTCTTTCTCGCTCTCTCTCTCTCAATCAGTCAATTAAAAATAAAAAAAGAAAGTTGAGAAGCTCTTCTGGAAAGATAAGGAGGACAGAAAGAAAAAGGAGAGGGAGAGAACTTGCTTCTGTATTATTTCTCTATTTCTGCTTTGTAAGTTACCCCAAATGTCCATAGCATAGGCATACTAAGTAAATGAAGTGGGAAATGTTACAAATTAAATGATCTGTTTTTATCTCTGGAAGGTTTCTTTACCTGCTTTTTCATATTTATGCCTCCCGTTGGCCAACACTATGTATAAATGGACTGATCATTGTATCAAGTCAGAAAACCTGGATTTCCCCCTTAGAGAAGCAGCCTGACTTAGCTGCTTTCAAAATTTTCCATAAAATGAGGGGGAGGGGGTTAAAGGATAGAGGATTAGTCCCCTCTCCAGCACCATCTCCTGAGTTGCAGGCCATTAGCCTGTCCAGTATCTGGTGAGAGTCCCTATTTTATTTCTAGGTGCCCTTCTAGACTTTTCCTGCCATTCCTGGGACTTCTGGGTAAAGAAAGGGAAGGAGGATGAGAACATAGCAATATGAATTGCTTACAATTTGTATAACGTGTCATGCATTTACAAAGCCTTTACACGTGTTGTCAAGGCTGTTTCATAGTTAGGAAGAACTAGAAGGGACCTAAGATGACATGGAGCCCAGTACCTGCACACGGAGATGAGGAACAAAGACTAAAAATAGGATGTGACCTGCCCAAGGCCTCGCAGCGAGTGCCGGCGCCGGGCTGGTTCTGGGCTTTCTGATCCTAACCATTTCCACTTGGTCAGGAGGAAGCCGAAGCCCGGAGCCTGTCAGACGGGGCCGACTTCTTGGAGATCATCTATTGAGTCCAATCCCTCTTTTCACAGGGACTGGACTGCGGTCTTTCAGAATTTACTGGGCCTGGATCCAGACCTCCAGACTCGCACGGCAGCCCGCATGAGTAACGGGGGCCTGTGATCACAGGGACCGGGGGTCAGAGACGGCTCTCCCGGCGCCGGGCCGTGGGGATCCCTCGGGCAGGGCTCAGGGGTCCCTTCCCCCGACAGAAACCAGGTCCTCGCGACCGGCGGGGAGCCGCCAGCGGAGAGCCAATCCTGGGCCGCGCCGTGAGAGGGGCGGGACGTCCGCGCCCTCGCCCCGCCCACTTCAGGCAACTGAAAAGCTGTGCGGTGACCTAGGCAACGCATCGAGCGTCACTGCCACCGGCTAAATTTGCTGCGTTCCGCCCCTCTTGGCATCACTAAACGGAAAGCGAAGTCCTTTAAGGGGCAAAAAGGACGGAGGTCCTGATTGGCTGGTTGGGTGAGTCCAGTCCCAGCAGCGGAGTGTCTGGGGCTGAGAGAAGGGCGGCCTCGCCCGGGTCAGACACGGAGGGCGGGGTGCCCGCTGCTGAGAAGCCGAGCAGAGAAGGGACTTCGGTGGCTGAAAAGTCGGTGTTTCCAGTTCAGGATAACGGTCCTCCTGGGTGCGGGCGGAGGTAGCGGGACTCCAAGAACCCTGGGTCCCACCACCCGATGTTGCTATACTTTCTCCATCGTAGTGCTGTGGGGGAGGGAACACGGGCATTTAATGTTTAAATTCAACATTTCTCGGGCGGCTTTTGTGTGCCAGGCCTGGTGCTAAGTGTTGGGGCTCAGTGAACAAAACAAAGATTGCTGCCTTCTTGGAAGTTTGTATTCTAACAGGAGGAGAAAATACAGTACGCAGGCCACGGGGGTGGGAAAGTAGAGCAAGTGAAGATGGAGCAGTTCGCACCATTACGTAGGTGGCCGCTTAGACACCAGCGAGAAAGTGCGATCTGAACGTAGAATTGAAGGAGGCAAAATGGCTAGCCAGTGCGCTACCTGGGAGCAGAGCATTCCAGGCCGAAGGAGCAGCTGACGGGCCTCATGACGAACAGCAAGGACAAGAGAGTGGCAGAGCATTGTGTGGGGGAGAGCGGCAGGTGAGAGGGAGTACAGGTCTTGTATGGTCTTGGATGCTTGGCTGTTACTCTGACAGAGGGAGCCACATCATCTGTTATATATATATTGATTTCAGAGAGGATGGGAGAGAGAGAAACATCAATGATGAGAATCATTGATCAGCTACCTCCTGCACGCCCCCTACTGGGGGTCAACCCTGCAACCCGGGCATGTGCCCTTGACTGGAATCAAACCCAGGACCCTTCAGTCCGCAGGCTGATGCTCTATCCACTGAGCCAAACCAGCCAGGGCATAACTTATATTTTCAAATAACCATGCTGGCTGCTGTGTTGAGAATCAGTGGAGTGTGTGTGTGTGTGTGGGGGGGGGGGCAAGAATAGAATCCGGGAGGCCTGCTGGTTAGTGCAATGATGCATGGCACAATGTGTAGGGGATGGTGGTCATTTGTACTGGGTGGTGGTGACGGGAGTGGTCAGATTCTGGATATACTCTGAAGATAGAGCTTATGTTAAGGGCGGGAGGGGGCTAGAATAGAACTGCCTATCATCGTGGAAAAGTTAGCCTTGTTGCTGAAACAATGGCGCCCCCAGGTGCCGACCTTTGCAACCCTCAGTCCACATTACCTGTAATCTGTAACCATTATACCCATTCTTATTCCTGTTTGAGTCCTGGCCTGCAGCCTCAGCCATTCCCATGGCTCACCTAAGTTCATTCTGTAACTCTGTAAGGAGGGAGCCTACCATTACCAGCATAACAAAAAAGGTTAACCCTTTGTACGCCATAAGCATCTATAGACACTTTAAAAAACCATTTTTCATGAGAAATTTCAACTGAAAATATTCAAGAACACCCAGATTGTGAGTAACATTTATTTTTATAATATCCACTGCAAGTTAATTTTTAAAATAAATTCAAAATATCGTGGCATGTGGGGATGGTTTCCGTTTTGGAAGCGGGGCAGTTAACGGAGCAATAGCGTCATGAGGCTCCGCGGGTGGAGATCATTGCAGTCGGTGCCACCGCCCTGAGAAGGTCTCTTTGGATCAGATCCTGTGCTGTTTGGGGGCATGAGGACGGTCAGTTGTCCTACGGAGCAAGGCCCCCAGTGCTGTTGGCAGGGATCTGTGACTAAACAATTACCCCACATATCGGAAACCAATCCGCTGGCAGCTTAGTATGCCCGTTACTATAAGGGAGGGTGAAATGACCAGAACAATAGACGCTGTAGTTGTTGGTTACTGAAAGACAATAACCAGACACCCGGTCAAAGCCAGACACGCACCACGGGAAGCTACCGCAGCAGCCTTCAGAGACAACAATCCTGCCTCCTTTTCTCAGACAACAGGCCCCAGCGTGTAAAGGCCCCATCTGTGACTCTCCTCCCGAGAATATAGAACGAGTACAATTCTGTGTCATAGCAATCAGTGTCCCAACTCCTACTAGGCAAGATGTAAAGGACTGTTCTGCATACGTTCCTTCTGAAAGGCAGAAGTCAGAGACATTACGAACGTTTTGTGTTTTGTTTTGTTTTGTTTTTTGCTAAATCCATCCAAATATTTTCATCTCTTCTGAACAGAATTAGTTTTCCTCCAGCCAGACCAGCTGTGGTCAGGAGTGTGATGACTAGTATGATGAATGCTGCCTTGGAAAGGTGACCTTGAGGTTTCCTTGGGCTCGGTCACCCTTCTCCCCTTCGGCACCTTCTTACGCTGGTGTGAGGGATCCTTGCCGGCTTCAGAGCAGCTGGAGTGGGAGAAGCACGCCCCAGGGTCCCATCCGTTTTCCTCCAGCGGGTCGTCTGGCGATCCAGTTTTCCTGTCTCGAGTAGAAGTCTGTCTCCTGCTCGGAAGGGATGCAGCGGGCCTGTGACAGAAAATCCCTGCACAAGCCAAAGCATTCATTACACCCAGGGTTTGATTCAGATGCTGCGTGTCATTCTTAATTTTAACATCATGATCTACACTTACGTCTCCTGTTCCTATAGCAGCCTGAAGGGTCACCCATATACTATATTTTAGGGACTCAAATCAATCCCACTTCCGGGAGCTACTCTAGTCCTGGGCAGGGCAATTGGCAATACCCATCCCAACGCAGACGTGTCTTCCCACATAGTTTGGCATATTCTTCTTTAAGGTCTGTTCATTTTCTCAACCTTCCCGGAGGCCTGTGGTCTCCAGGCTGTATGTGGCAGTGGGTGCCCTTAGAATCGGAGTGAGAACCCCAAGTCCGATTCCTTTCCTCTCATGCACGTACGGGTGAAACGGTTTCAACAGATTTGGGGGCCCAAAGCAGGGCCTGTAAGGTCTCAAAGGCGCGTTCACATTCCTTATCCCCGTCCAGGGTCTCCTCTGGCCCCTTCAGAGCCTCACACGGGGTCTCGCTATGAGTCCAAATGTGGCAGCACCCAGCCGTTCCCCCAAATCCTCTCTCTGCCTCCTGGTCTTTGGGGGCTGTACCCGAATGCTAGTGTCCTCTGGTCCCCTGTTCAACTCCGTTGCCAGGCCCCAGGAGAAACCCCAGGAAGTAGGCGGCCTGCTTGTAGAATCTGAGCTTTGGGGGCCGAGACCTTATAGCCACAGCTTGCTAGGTGCTTGGGGAGTCCATAATGTTTGTCAGACAGTGCTCACAGGTGGGCCCTGTGACCAGGAGGTCATCCACATATTGTAGCGAGACTCCCTTCTGAAACTGCAGCTTTTCCGGTCCTTGCTTAGCGTCTCCCCGAAAATGGTGGGGGAGCTCTTGAACCCCTGGGGAAGGACTGTCCAACTGTACTGAGTCTTTTTAAAAAATTTATTGTCTAAAGTTTTACATATGTCTCTTTTTCCCCCCCTTGACACCCCTCCCCACACAGCCACTCCCACCCGGGCAAGCCCCCACCTGTACTGAGTCTTAGCCAGAGTCTCTGGGTCTTGCCATTCAAAGGCAAAAAGCGGCTACCAGCGCACAGAAGAGAGCATCTCTGAGGCCCAGGACCAGTACCCTCACTGTCTCTAGGTCTCCCAGGAATTAGAGTGTGAGGCCTGGGCACAGTAGGATGTATATCCTGAGTGACTTCATTTATAGCCCTCAGGTCCTGGACAAGCAGGTATTCCCGTGTGGGTTTCTTCACTGGCAATATAGGAGTGTTAGAGGGCTTGGTCGAATTAGACCAAATTTGAGAAAATTTTTGAATCATGGCCTCCTTTTTCAAGGGATACTGCTTCTTGGTGGGGGTAGGAGGGACCTTTGCCCGTGGTTTTAGTTTAATCCTGACTGGCAAAGCCCGTTGGCCCTTCTGGTTCCCCTTGAGCCCATACTGATGGCTGTACCGGGGCCTCTGTTTTAGCTGGGAATGGGCTTACCTTGATCTTGTATAAGAAACTGCCAGGCATGTTCCCACGGACCCAGTAGGTGTAGCTGTTGTTCCTCCGGGAGGAAAGCGATCTGAGCCCGCAGCTTAGAGAGGTAGTCTCATCCCGGGAGAGGGATGGACATAGAAATGGACGAGTTAGCTGGGCCTCGCCAGTCACACACTCTGGCTCCAAGGAGGGCCGCTGCCCCAGAGCTCCCGAGAGTCCCATCACCAGCTCTGTCTGGGACGAAGGTTTGGTTAAAGTGTGCGGGTGGTGCCCTAGCCGGTTTGGCTCAGTGGATAGAGCATCAGCCTGCAGACTGAAGGGTCCCGGGTTTGATTCTGGCCAAGGGCACATGCCTGGGTTGCGGGCTTGATCCCCAGTAGGGGACATGCAGGAGGCAGCCTATCAATGATTCTCATCATTGATGTTTCTATCTCTCTATCCCTCTCCCTTCCTCTCTAAAATCAATAAAAATATATTAAAGTGTGTGGGTGGTGGGACCGGCACCAGGTGTCAGACCAAACCTGGGTTCAGCAACCTCGGTGCTTGGGTTCTGGTTAGGAAAGAATTCAGAGCCAAGACCCAAACTGTAAGAGAACATTTACTGGGTAAATCACGGAGGTGGAAGTCATTCCCAGAAGAAATGGGCTGAGGCAACAAGTTATGGAGGCAGAGGAAGGGCTCTGGGAGCTCGGGAGTGAGGAAGCTGATGGTACGGTGCCTGGGCAGGGAGGGGGAGGGGAGGGGAAGGCAGGGGTGTGCTCCCAGGAGGGAGAGCCCACGGATCCTGTCGTAAGTGTTTTAAGGGTGTGATTTAGGGGCGGTCCCTAAAGTCTCAATAGACCAGTGGTTCTCAACCTGTGGGTCGCGACCCCTTTGGCGGTTGAACGACCCTTTCACAGGGGTCGCCTAAGACCATCGGAAAACACATATATAATTACATCTTGTTTTTGTGATTAATCACTATGCTGTAATGATGTTCAATTTGTAACAATGAAATTGGGGGTCACCACAACATAAGGAACTGTATTAAGGGCTGCGGCATTAGGAAGCCGTAGTTTGAGAACCCCTGCAATAGACTATCAGCAGCTTCCCAGGTGTGTCCTTTCAGGGTTGTGGTCTCCGATGGATGGGCTGGCCCGGGGCAGGGGGTCATTATTCCATGCAGCTGGTCCTGACGTCAGTGTGGCTGCTTTTGTTGCTTATCTGGGCCTGGAGCGCAAATACAACTCGAGGCCTTGATGTCTTTAGGGAGGAAAAGTCAGGGGTCCAAACCCTGAGGTCAGGGATAAGCTAGGGGAGGAACAGCCGCCCTGGGGCGAGGTCCCGCCCTACAATTGATTGGCAGGTGTTAGGCGCCTGGGGCTTTCCACCCTGGTGACCTGTACCTGGCCCATCTGTCCTTGCTCAGCTACTGTCTAACTGCCTACGATGAAAAGGGTGTTGACCCAGTTGGTGGCCCCGCTCCCCCACTGTTGATGTCACCGGAGGCTCCTGAGCCTCTGGGCCCTGGTCATCTTCAGTCCGCAGCGGAGCTGGCCTCCGGAAGCTCTTTGTCCTTTACTTTCCTCTCCCCATTACCTTCTCTCTTGGGGCGCTCGTGCTCCAGTGCCCGCCTTTCAGGATGCACACTGGTCAGGGGACGAGGGGCCTTCTTGTCCTTTCCTCCCTTTGGCCCCCTCTGCCTTTGGCTATTGGCTGGCTCTACAAAGACGGTGGCTGTTGTTGTTGTTTTTTAATTTCCCTCCTGTTGTAAGCAATATCAGCCAATTGCCAGGGATTCATTCCAAGTGTCCCATCCACCGCCTACAATTTCGTTCTAATGTCTGGAAACCTCTGGCCAATAAAAGTCCAATTTACCATGTGACTCTTTCCAGCCGCTCGAGAGTCTGTGCAGGGTATTCCCTGCGCCTGAAAAACGCGTGTTTGAAAGGCAGAGTCCTCATCCGCCCTCTGCTGACCTGCCTGCAGGCTGAGACTCCTTAGCTTGGGAACCAACCCCTGACCCCTCAACAGTGCGTCACTTACAATGTCCAAGCCAAGGCAGTCCCCCGTCAAGGGGTCCCAGTTGGGCTCGACTGGAGGACTAGCTTGGGCCGGGTCAACTGCATTTGGGTCCTTCTCATGGAGCCACTGTGTTCCGCCCCAGCTTTCCCAGACACTAACCTCTCTGTCCCCAGTTAGGAGGATCTAAAAATATATATTTTTATTGATTTCAGAGAGGAAGGGAGAGGAAGAGAGAGAGAGAAAGAAACATCAATGATGAGATTCATTGATTGGCTGCCTCCTGCACGCCCCCTACTGGGGATCGAGTGCACAACTTGGGCATGTGCCCTTGATCAGAACTGAACCCTGGACCCTTCAGTCTGCAGGCCGATGCTCTATCCACTGAGCCAAACCAGCCAGGGCTAGGAGGATTTTTAAGAGTGCCAGTTGGGCTTATGAGAGGTGAATATGGAAACAATCAAATCCGTTACCTTAGCAGGATCATCCTGTTAGGAGGGATTGGAATGTTCCCAATTTAGCAAATCCAGGGTGGAGAACGGAGTATGGGCCCAATAATATCCTGCTGGGTGCCCATTCTCAGTGGCTCCCACCGGTATATGGCGGAGAGGGAACTGCCCTGCTAGGGAAGTAGCTCTATCCCTTCTGAATTCAGTTCCCACCCCTGTTCTAGAGGGAGAGGGGTGACCATCTCAGGCTCATTTTCAGTGCCCAGTGGCCCAGGATAAGGAGGGAGCTCCCCAGATTCTGGAGCACTTGGAGGAGGCAGTCTCTTCCTCTTCCTGTCCCTCCCTCTCCTTCTCCTCCTGCTCTCTACCTTTTCTGTATTACAGGTACCACATCTTTTCTCTGAACCATCAACTCAGCCCCTTTCTTTTCTTTTCTTTTCAGTTAGAATTATGCAAAGACATAAAGGCTCCAACATACAGCACTCCCTCATTTCCCCAACCTCTGATAAAACAATTCTAACTAATACAGTATAGTAGTTTAAAGACCCATTTAATGGCCACCTTTCCCCAGAATCTATTCTAGAGCATATATTAGTATAGGCCAAGCAGTATTACACCATTTTCCTTTTTGCATTGGTGGATAAATGTAAATAGCCCAATCCCCCAAGATCTGTCCTAATGGAGTATCTTTTTGGATGGAGCCACTAGCACCCATTCTTAAACAACTTAAGCAAGATTACAGGCAGCCCTGGCTAGTTTTGCTCAGTGGGTAGAGCATCGGCCTGAGGACTGAGGGGTCCTAGGTTCGATTCCAGTCAAGGGCACATGCCGGGTTGCGGGCTCGATCCCCAGTGGGGGGCGTGCAGGAGGCATTTAGTTCCTGTAAGACTGAGGTTTGGACATCTGAGGGGTTTGCACATCACAGCCGTCACAGCGATCCCACTGGCAGTTCTGGTGGATCTTGCCTTTAACTTGAGGACCAAGACCTTTCGATACCGAGGTGGGACTGCAGCAGTGACATCCACCAGGCGAGGCTGTGCTGAGCGGCCATGTTTGGCAGCTGGCGTGGCTTTACCTTATTTAGATCCACGTCTCTCCCCTGTTCCTGGGCTTCCATTAGGTATTTAATAACACCCATGGTCAGCTCATTAGCTCAGCGGGGCCGAGCTCCTTGCTGCGTCTGCCTCATTTCTCCGCTGCCGAAGCTGCTGCCACCTCAGAAAATGTCAAGGGGGTTAATTTCTGATACGGTAAACGACACCAAAGATTTATGAAAAAAATTAGTAACACAAGAGAAACATGAGAAACAAGTTTTATTGGAAATATTCTAACACATTTTCTGAACAAGAATCAAAAATAAATAAATAGGGACATGGACGATATGAACATAAACATTTTTTACCTTGAAAACAAATAGTATACCTCCTTTCAGGTTTCATGAACAGTGAACATTTTCAACAAATAGTAAGCCACAGAAAGTATTTTGGTAAATTTTGAAAAGTGGAAATTCTAGAAGTCAGTCTCTGATCAAAATGCAATTCAACTTACAATAATATAAAGCACACCACTTAGAAACTGAAACACACAAATAGTATCTCAAATTACCCTTCAGACAATAAAAAACTATATAAAAATAATTTAAAAATAGGATATAGTCAAAGCTATCTGCAGAGGTAAAATTAACAGCAGTAAATGTTTTTAGTGTCAAAAATAAAAATGAATGCAAGTTGAGATTTTGAAGAAGAGTGTAAAAATGCCCCCCCAAAGGGAGGAAGGAAATATTTGAAACAGAAACAGGAAAAACAAACACCCAGACGCCTAATGGTAGGGAAGGCGTACGCTCCAGCCCGCAGACAGCAGTGCGCAGCCCGGCTCCACGTGAACCTGGTCCCCGGCTTGTGCCCTCGGTCCTCCCATCCTCACTGCTGGTCCTCTGCCCGGTGTTCTGTCTACTCCGAGGCTTCAGCTCCCTTCAGCT